ACTCGCTCACGTGCGGTCTGCGGCCAGAATGCAGCCAGAATGCAACCAGAATGCAGCAAAATGCAGCGGCCCCTCTCTTTTGGGCGCGGTAATGGAAATTCCCTTTCGGCCGTGTGTGCGAACAGTGCGAGAAACGAGTTTGGCTCGCTGTAGCAACAACGGCAGCACGGCAGTGGCATGAACAGGTCACGCTGCATACCCTCACTGCCAGTGTGTGTGTTCTCCCTCTCAAACACAAAACACACACACACACACACACAATCGTGCCGATTCCTGAAGGTGGATAGGCTCTTCCTGGGTCCGCGCTACTCGAGGGATTGCCCCGTAGTGCAGCCGCCGCCACGGCTATATCATTCGGATGGGAAGAGGGAGTCAGGGGTGGAGGGGGAGGGGTGGAAGGGGAGGGGAGGGGGAGAGGAGGAGGAGGGGATCGCAGATCGCCAAAGGACGACGTAGAGCAGCGAGGCAGGGAAGCAGGCGGGAGGAATCGCGCCAAAAAGTTGTTCGCTGCTCCTGTGTGGGCTGTCTGTCTGCCTGTCCGTCCGTCCGTCCGTCCGTTCGTCTGGCCGGCTGGCTGCAGCGAGGGGAGGGTCATGGAGTGGAAGGGCACGGCCCGGCACGGCCCGGCACGGCCGCAGCCATTCGCGGCCGCCGTAAAGGCGCTCCGCGCTGTCGCGCTGCGAACGTCGCCGCGCTTACGTCCTCCACGCGTCGCGCCGAGAATAAACCGCAAAACTGATTTTGCATTTCGCGCGTGCCGCGTCCGCACTCACACACTCGCAGAGAGAGAGAGAGAGGCTCGCGCGCTCGATTCCCGCATTCCCGTATATATTCCGAAGACGGGACACACTACAATGAGTGTGGGTGTGGGCGTGGTACCTTTCTTTATGCCCCCTCCTCCCCCTCCCCCCTGGCGTGGCGTGGCGTGGCGTGGCGTGGCGTGGCGCGGCGCGGCGCCGTTCACGCCGTGTACGTGACGCAATCCCAGGCCGCGCCTATTCCCATCCACAATGTCACGGAGTCTGTACTGCGCCAAATGGTTTTCCACAACGACCATGGGACAGGGACAGGCCGGGCCTCCTCCGCCCCTTTCACTCCTCGTCTTCCAAACTAATTCTCCTGCGTCGCTCCGCCGCGCCGCTGGGCGTTTTTAAAAGGCGCCCCGTAATAGATTGTCGCCAGCCTCCCCGAAGATGGCGGACTATTTAAAATTGCCAGTGTCCCTGAACATGAAAGGCACGTTGTCGACACGTCCTCGCGTCCCATCTGGGCGGTGATGGCGTCCTTGAATATCATGTCCTGGATTCATGCAGCCTCCACTCGCAACCGGTTTCTTGTTCGTCGTCAAAATCACAAACAGGGTGGTGTGAACCCGAGACGGAGCGTCGCCACGGGTGTGTCGAGTCACGCTGGACGGCAGTCTCTTCCTCGCCCCGTCTCTGTCGCACTCATGGAACTTCCCCCGAGCGTGCGAGAGAGACGGAAGCCCTCTTCGGATCCGCTCGGCCGCGATGGGGTTGTGTAGCAATGCGCCGACACGCCCTCACCGCACCGCCCCCGGCACGCTGCGTCGCTCTGTCTCTCTCGCACTCATGGGCCGTCCCGCAGGGCGGGCGAGAGGGACAGGGCTCCAGCACTCCAGCTCGCCCCCAGCTATACATGCAAGGCGCTTATTCGGCCACTGGAGGCAATCCCGTCTCGCCTCTGCTTCTGGGGCGCTGGGAGCGACGGCTGGAGCGACGGCTGGAGCGTCGGCTGGAGCGCTGGCCCCGCGCAGACCAGCTGGAAGCTGCACAACGTCCCGAGAGACGGGACCGTTTGGGAGCGCCGTGGTCGTCCTGGACGTCGTCCTGGACGTCGTCCTGGACGTCGTTGGGGCAAGCACCTGGCGTCGCTGCAGCTTTCGAACCCCCTCGCGACCCCACTGGAGCGTCTGGAGCCTGCCCATTTCGTCACAGTATCTCTCTCACACACCTACAGACCGCCCCGCGGGAGTGACAGAGACAGAGCGACGAAACGACTCGTCGGAATCAGTCTGCAGCGGCCTTTCTCTCTCCCTCTCTCTCTTGCGAGCCTCACACGGCGAAAGCGCAGTGCGCTGAAAAAAAAGGGCGAGGGTCAGGGTTCCTGGAGCGTAGTTAATTAGCTCAAGAAGGCGAAATTCCAGGGTTTCTTGTCTGGAAATGCGCTGATCTAATTAACGTGCAAAAGAAGGAATGAAAAAGGGGGAAAGGGCGGTACCAAGGGATGAACTCGTGCCGCGTCGCGCCTCGCTGCACACACACACACACACACACTCTCCCCCTTCTCTCTCTCTCCCGCCCCCCCTCACCTCCATCTCTCTCTTTTTCACACACGCACACACTCTCTCATGTACACACACGGAGGCACAGCCAGCGCGCGCTCAGACCCCCCGCCCCCGCCTTATGCCTTATGCGGAGTTAAACTGAAATCCGAGGAAAATCCGGCGGCGCTGCCGCAAACATTCAGGAAATAGAAAATCTTTGCCGTGCGCCAGACGCATTCACACACACCCATTCACCTTGTGTGAGACAAGGAGAAAAAGCGAGGCAAGGACCAAAACACTGGAATATGGCAGAAGGGGATCTGTCACCGAGAATGTGCGAGCGAGAGGAAGAGAAAGGGAGCGAGAACAGAGGAGAGGGAGTGCCCGTCTGAAAGAGCGAGAAAGTGCGTTCGTTGTGGTTCCTGGGGACGCGAACGACAAACGAAAAGCTTTTCTCTTTCTTTGTGTTTTGGAACAGAGCGTGTGAAAGTTTCAGGGGGACGCAGTAAGGGACTCGAAAGCGGAGCCCTGCCCCGCCACTGTACATACGCGAATAAAACGAGCATGTTTATGAACTGGCACTGCGCGCACGCGGCACTGGGAACCGCCGGGAGCCGCCCCAGCCAATGCCGAAGAGGAGAATCTTCCTCGAAAAGTGAAGCCCCCTGTGCGCGTCTTCCGCCAAAGGTATTTCTTATTTCGCTGAGGTTTCCAAAGACTCTGTTTTTGTGGTGGGGCCGAAAAAGAAAAACATCACACGAGTGCGCCCCGCCCGTACATTTCCCCCGATTTCTGCGCGTTTGGTTGTTGGTCCAGAGCAAAGAGAACCCCCCCCCCCCCCCTCTCGGCACACCTCCCCGCCCGGCCTGGCCCGGCCTCGCCTCGCCCTCGGATGAGGCCCTCGACGCTACACGGAGGACGATTGGCTAGCTGCTCCGTGCCACAATGGCGCCAGTGTGATTCCAATAACCTAGCCGGACAGGGCCAGACAGGACGCCGTCAACAACGAGCAGTCGGCACTCCAACCACACAGATTAAACGGAAAAGAAAGAAGCTTCGTTTACGGACCCGGAAGCGGGAAGGGGTGTCTCGGGGGACGGAAGAATCTAGTTTCCCAGGTGGAGTGGCTACACACACCGCAGGGGCACTGACCAAACAGCGCTGGGGGTCGCCCCGCCCCGCCCGCCCCTTCCCGCCCGGCCCGCCCGGCCAGTCCGGATGCACAAAACGCACACACCGGCGCGCAGAGCCAGCACAGCCAGCACAGCCAGCACAGCCAGCACAGCCAGCATAGCACGGCCCGGCGCGAAATTAAAGGTAAATAAGCCAAGCCAGGCAACCGCGGCAGGCAGAGGCCGTCTCGCAGTCTCGCAGTCCCGCAGTCCCGGCGAGCGCGATTGGAGTGCCCCTTCCTTTTTCGTGTTATTTGTTTGTCTGAAAGTGCCTACTTTGCGGCCTCGTCAGCGCGTTCAGCGCGCAGCGCCACCACACAGCAACCGCTCGCAACAATGTGGCGCGGGATCCCCTGGGAAGCGCGCACCCACACACAGGCACACACACACTGGCAAACACACGCACACACGCGGGCCTCTCTTCAAGTTGGCACACAGCTCCCCCGCGCTCACTTAACTAGAAGCTGGCTCCCACCCGCAAATTCTCCGCGCCTGACGCGCCGCCGACGCCCAGTTTAGCGCAGTGGGAAACACGGCATCGGGGACCGCCAGGGCCACCGCCGCCACCGCGGCCTCCACCAGGACCTGCGCGACGGGCGTCCGGGCGCAGCACAGTGGGCCAGAAGACCGGGGAGGCGGCCAAGACGCGTTTTGGGCTCTAGAGTCGCTCAAGGGTACTCGAACCGAACGTGTGACCCCACCAATGGACTCCTCGTTCGGACAGCAATCCATGGGTGGGGTCGCCCGCTCGATTCGAGTCCCATTTAGTGACGCTGGAGCTCAAAACGCGTCGAAAGTTTTGGCCGCCTGCACCGGTCTTCTGGTCCACTGTGCGCAAGCCCGTCGCTCCACTGCGAAATCAGCGCGCGGCCGAGGGGGCAGTCCCGCGGCCGGGAATCGGACGAACGGCCGTAAAACGAGCTTGGAGCAGCCCTCGACGCGGAGGCGGCGGAGGCGGCGGGTCATGGCGACCGCAGACAAACAGTGGCAGCCCGACCCATGTCACAGGCGTCGCGAGTGTGGTGGTGGGGGCGGTGGAGGGGGCGGGGGTGCAGCGCGGGTCACAAGACAATGTGTTGCCGCCGCGTCTCTCCTGGTAATTAAACGCAAACCAAATGAATCTCGCAAACAAACACAACCCCGTTTGTTTTTACAAGGTAATAAATAATTGCCCCGGAGGGCCGCGCCTTGGCTGCCTGGGCTGCCTTCACCTCTCCCTCGCCGAGACGGAGATGCACTGTGAGAAAGGGAAGCGGCGAACCGATCCCCAGAGTCGCTCTCGTCACTCTGCCTCTCTCGCACCCGTAGAGGCCGCCCCATGAGTGTGAGGGGGACAGAGCGACGAAAACGAGTCTCAGAATCAGTCTGCAGGCGGCGTCCCCCCCCCCCTCTCTCTTCGGGGGCAGTCTCGACAGGGCGATATTTCTCAGCCTCAGCGCCTGTGGAGCGACGGGTAGGCAAGCCCGCCGAACACGGGTGTCGCGCGGAACAGGCTACCCGTGGCCTTGCAGGCGGCGTGGCGGCGAAGCGAGGGTACTCACCGATGACGGTGAGGTTGACCTGGTAGTTCTTGCTGCGCGACGTCTTGAAGTCGACGCGGCAGCGGTACACGGCCTCGTCGGACAGCTGCACGCGGTCGATGGAGAGCTCGGCGGTGCGGTACGGCGTGTTGGGCAGGCGCGGCGGTGCGACGCCCTCCACGGCGTGCGCCGTCGAGAAGTGCGCGCGCGGCCCCAGCCAGGCGGGGTCGGACCACACCTGGGCCTCCTTGTAGGGCCGGCCGCGCACGTCGAACCTGCAGCACACAGACACGGCGCAATTAAAGTCCCTGTCGCTTCCGCCCGCTCGGTTGACACTCGGGCTTTACGCAGTGTTACGCGGCCCTCGCTTTCTGTCTACCTCCCGAAGTGGCGGGCCCTTCACTTCCATTTGGGAGGGTCTGGCCGGCCGGGGCCGCGGGGCCGCGGGGCCGGGCTCTGGAGGCAGCCGGCAACACCGGCAACACGGCGCGGCACGGTGGCGCCGCTGCGCAGTGCGCCCCCTGGATTAATTAAAAGGGCACGCGAATTTTCCAGTCACAAACAGTGGCGGCCCCGCTGAAAGGGGACCGAAAGCGAAAAGCGCGTCATTAATTTGAAATTGCGCTTCGGGAAAGTGTTTTGGCTTCGGGGACCGGGCCGTCGGCCGGGCCGTCGGCTGTCGCGCCACCGACATGACAACGTTGCAGTGCTCTGAGGCGGCGCAGAGCGTGGCGGGGCGTGGCGGGGCGGGGCGGGGCGGGGCGGGGCGCGGGGCGTTGTGTGGTAGCCGCACGCCTCGTTACGTCCAGGAAACGCGGCGCGGACAACGCCTGCCCGGCGCACTGCCCCGCCCCGCCCCGCCCCGCCCCACCCCGCCCCGCCCCGCCCGGCCCGGCCGCGCCCCGCCACGCCACGCCCCCTCGCCATGTGCGGCTGTGCCATACGGAGAGCCGCTTGGCCAGTCCCAAAAATCACACACGGGGGCTGCAGGGCGATTCCGAACATCGCCTCTCTGTCTCTCTCGCACTCATGGGACGTTCCGTGCTGGAGCGACAGAGACGGAGCGACGAAAAACAGCGCGGAATCAGTCTGCCGGCCCAGGCACTTGGCCACGGCACTGGGGAAACAATATGTGTTTGCACAGTTCGACGGAGAGGCGTGTGGGCCGGGCGGGCTGGGCGGGCAGGCTGAGGCTGCGCGCGGCGGCTGGCGGGCGGGCTGGCCGGACGCAATGAAAAGCTTATCTTACGGACCAGACCCCGAACGCCCGCGCGCACCGCCCCACCCCGCCCGCCGGTCGGTCCTGCCGAAAGAAAGGAAAAGTGTGGACGTCGAGTCATATTTCACTCAAACTTGAATTTCAACGCTTATCCCTGTCGGTGGGATATATGAAAGGGGGAGCCGGAGAGACACACGATTCCCCGGAGGGCAGAGGGCAGCAAGGGTGAAATGGTGCAGCGTTTTGCAAAAAAGGCGGGGCCGGTACACGGCTCGGCGACAACACGAATAAAGACTTATGGCCGGCGGGCAGCTGAGCTGGCAAGGCGTGGCGTGGCGTGGCGCGGCGCGGCGAGCCGAGAAGCGGCTGCATTTCCTCATACAAGAGGCGGCGGTGCAGTGGGCCTGGCCTGGCCGGGCCGGGCCCGGGGCAGTCGATGCCCGGACGGGCGTAATCTCAGAGGCCAGAGCGCCAGCAAGGCGCAGCAAGGCGCAGCAAGGCGCAGCAAGGGAAGGAATGATCCCGGAACGCTCGAGAAAATAAGAGAGGGAGAGAAAAAACGGAGAAAAAGTAAGACTGGATGATGCAGCGAACGTCTTGTAGACGTTTTGCTTTTTCGTGTATGGACACTGCGCACAAGATGCTCCAGCACGTCTCGGACCAAAACAAAACCTGCTGGTGACAGCGGATCCTTTCATTTTAAAGCTTTAGTTAAATTGACTTTGAAGTCTTGCAATGTGATGGCATGCACAATTTTTTATTTGTTTCCATGAACGTTTGGATTCATTCAGGCAAGCGCCGCCTGCCGATTTAGAGCGCAGTTCGGCAAAGGAAAATGTCAAACCGTGTTGTCAAACGCTTCGATATTTTTCCGCGACGTACCCGGGCCCTCGGTGTTCCGCTCGGGGCGCAGCCATGCTCAGTGCGACACGGCAGACAGTGTGGCGGCACGCCGCGGCAGGCAACGCGAAATGGGCCGACTAACGCGCCGGCCACTCGGGGATTGCGACGAAGCTCGTTGTAAACATGTACGCCGGGCGAACGGCCACTGGAGGCGCGACGCGGCGCGACGCGAGCCACGCCCCGTCTGCCGAGTCGCTCTGTCTCTGTCGCACCCGTGCGGGCCACCCCGTGGGTGCGACAGAGAGAGACACGCTCCGCTGGGAATGAGACTGCTGACCCCCATGCGGGTGATCAGCCATCAGGTCACTAGTGGGGCTTGTATACGTAATCTTTCTCAAGAAGAAAATCGAAAAGAAACAGCAAAATCGAGAAAATTCTGAGACAGAAACAATCCAATTTGAGAGTGTACACACGGGGCGGACTTGATGACGCCCCCGATTCGGGGCAAACAGGGCGTGTGAGCGCACGGGGCAACAATAGGCGGAATTTAAAAGCGGCGAGTTAGCGCGCGTGCCGTCAGCGACCGTCAGCGAGCGTCAGCGCCACGCCGCTTCGGCTTGCTTCGGCTCGGGTTGCCGCGCAGGACCAATAATTATTCCGGGCCGAACCGAAAGCACACACAGGGCGCCGGCAGGCAGCCCAGCCACGGCCCACGGGAAGGGAAGGTCTTTGATGTGCCGCAGTGCGGCACGCAACGCGGAAAACGCCAAAACGCCCACTAGCCTCGCATACAGTGGGTGTCCAAGCGCGCTCCAAGCGTGTCCCCTGCTTTGCGCACCCTCAGATCCGCCATAAAAAGCGCCTCATCTTAAAAGGACCAGGATTTTTTAAAGGTCGATTTTTTTTTAGTTTCGTTTCGTTTATTTTTGGAGCAGAATTTTTTTTTGCATATCAGCGGCGTCAATTTTGACCCCACTCAACAAAATCATTCGTGGAAAAGACAAAATAATGGACGTCTACGCCACAGGACTGCCGTGCCTAGCCGCACGCACGGTGCGAACTGAAGGGCTATCACACGCTAGCGGTGAAACAAGGAGGGATTCCCCTCCCCTCCGCCGCTGGTATAATTAATGAGAAATAAGCAAGCTTGCCGCTATTGCTCCGTCAGTGCGGAAGGAAACCTTGCGTCTGGCGTTTCCTGCCCGTGTGTAGCCCACTGGTATATCCCACTGGTGCCGACCTCAGAGCGACGGTGCGCAGCGTGCGCAGCGTGCGCACGCAGGGACCACTTTTATTTTAATTTTACTTTCTCTTTTTTGTCCCGATGTTTTTCCTTCCCTTTCTCTCTTTTTTTTTTACAAAAAAAAAAAATTTCCTGCACACTGCGTTCCTGCGGCGCCGTTTGTCCGCTATTAGCACTCGATTCAGCAGGCGGATGAATACGTCCGAAAGCAAAGAGCACGCGTTCGCAATTGATTTAACGCATAGAACAGCTGCGGCAAATTTGTGTGGGCCTCTAATTCGGGATGTGTAAATAATTCTTCTCTGTCTTCCGGAAGGTGGCGTATATATCACGGCCCCAGTCCGAGCCGGCTGGGCATTTGCCGCTGTAAGCGCCCCCACCGCTGTAAGCGCCCCCACCACTGTAAGCGCCCCCATACCACTGTAAGCACCCCCACCGCTGTAAGCACCCCCACCGCTGTATGCGCTCCCACCGCTGTAAGCCCTCCCATCGTTGCAAGCGGCGCCCCCACCGCTGTAAGCGCTCCCACCGCTGTAAGCGCCCCCACCACGGTAAGTGCCCCCTCCATCGTAAACCCCCCTCCCCCACTGCAGCGCCTGCACAGGCGCGTTGGGCCGCCACGCTTTTGTCTTGCGGTTGCCTACCTTCCTGCACAGACCGCGTGTCTGTGAGAGCGTGCGTGTGTGGGAAAGGTGGAAAAGAACAGGACGTGTGGGGTTGTGTCAGCAGTGTAGGCGCGTTGGTGTTTGTGTGTGAGCGAGAAATAGGGCAGTGGCACAGTGAGAGTTCGTCGGTGAGTGGTGACGTCCACATTGTGATTGACACATACTCTTCCCGCTAGAGATGCCTATCATCGCAAACTCACAGTGAGTCCGCTTCAAGCAAAACACGCCACATTTTTAATTTCAGTTATTTTTGTAACGAAACAGCACTGGTATGTGATCAGACCATTCTAAAACCGACACCATGCCTCAGACCACACCACCAAAATATTTTGCGGAAAAACAAAGCCAATAAACGGTTCCGGTGTTTTTTTTTGTCTGTTGGCTTAATCAATCAACTGCAAATAATGTGGATCGCGTATCCACCGCGGTGAAATTTGATAACTTTTGAGCCATCCGACTATTATTTTCCCTCTTTTTGTCGTTGTGAGCAAAATCAACTAAGACGGACCACTTCTTCCGGTGACCCTCTCCGATTTGCCTGATTTTTTGTAGGCTTAATAACTGACTAAAGGAGAGTCTAAAGCCAAAATATTAGGTCCGGCAAAAATTTATTGACCGAGATATGGCCAACTTAAGTTTAACTTTTGGAGGAAAAACACAAATTTGGGTATTTTGGACTAATTTTACACTTTTCATAGTAGAGGGCTAAAATTTGGTCACCATATGTAAAATTGACTAAGGAACAAGAATATGACCTCAGATTTGACCTCCGACGAATACCTGCTGAGTAAACCCCCCAAAACACCTTCAAAACACCTAAAAAAAACAGTTTTTTCTTGGGGTTTCTGGGAAAAATATGTGGACAAAAACTTCTGATGATTTTATCTTGTAGAAAATGACGCGATGAATCGAATGAGACCACGCGCAGATTTTTATGTCAAACCGTTTAGGAGATATAGCGGATCAAAGTATGCAAATTTTGCCATTTATTCTTTAAAAAATGGAGGTTTTGAGCATAGTTTGACGTTATCTGCCTTCTTGGTGTGTGTGGGTGATCCTATCTTGTAGAAAAAGACGCGCTGAATCGATTGAGACCACGCACTGAGTTGTATCTCAAACCGTTTAGGAGATATAGCGGTTCAAAGTATGGGCACGGTAGTCCGCCCGCCCAACAGACGTGTTTGGCGGGCCTGCCTTGTCGGGTGTTTACAGGAGCTCTCCCGTGCCCATACTATAAACCACTATATCTCCTAAACGGTTTGAGATACAACTCTGTGCGTGGTCTCATTTAATTCAGCACGTCTT